AAGGGGATATGTTTGATCGTACCCTACTAATACACACCTTGGGAGAGTGGAGTGATTTTTTTTTTTGCTGATAATGCTGTGGGAGAAGAGGAGGCAAACCGGTATTCTGTGGGAAAAAATAAAATAATAGTAATAAGGATAAATAAAGAGGTAATATGTCTGTGTGAGAGAGTAATTATGTGTTGCCTCTGTTTGTAAAGAGTGTCATGGTATTACAGTGATGTATGCAGTCATTTTTGTTTATGGTTGTGGGTGAGTGGGTTTTAAATTCCAATTGTGGTGTTGGTATAAATGTTACGGTGATGCATTGGTTTCTTTCTTTTTTTTCCGTTTGGGAGTGTGTGTTGATTATTGTACAGTCTCTTTGTTTTGCTGATGATTTGTGGTATTGTTTTTGTATGTTGTCAGGCGTACACTGTGTTTTTGGTGTATTTTGGTGTTCAAACTGCCTGGTAATGGTTTTAATATAATGAGAATGCAGACACACTTTGTGTATGAATACCGAGTAAGATATTGGAGTGTGTGTGGAAACGTTTATTTAATATTGTTTTGATACCATTTGTTTTCCACTTCTTCTAAATTCAAGGTGTTGTTTCAATATCTGTGTGACTCTGGGTGTGTTTTATTGTGTGAATGGTTTACTGTTGGTTCCCCTCATTGGGTTGTTGATTGATTGCTGTTGTGATGTGTATTCTCTCTCTCCTTCTCCTTTTGTTTTGTACTCACTGCATTGCGTGTTAAATGTGCGTCTCTTTTCTTCCTTTTCCTCTTCTTCCTTGTTACCACAGATCCAAGCAACCCACAGCGACAATCGTGACAACGATGTTCATCCAACTGCGCCGCGTGGTGTACCTGTTGGTACTTTTGCAGTTTTTTTTCTCTACGGCGTATGCGCAAGGTGATGATGTTGGTTCCGACGAAATCCGAAGAAGTGAAGAAGAAAATTTGGAGGCAGGATTGGTGGGGGCGGTGGACCGCGCGTATAAAGTGTTTGTGTTTGGTAGTGGTTGTTTTTCTGTATGGCAGGAGAAGGTGGAGGAATGCAAGAAAATAACGGAGGATGTTGGGACCGTTGCCAAGAAGATCGATGGAAGTGTTAATAAAATCAAACAGATGATGGGAAAAGATACTTGGCCTTCTTCCATAGAAACTTCCACAGGAGGAGAAGTATGGAGGGAAATCGAAGAAGCGGTAAAGGAGGCTAACACTACGATGAAAACCACCAATGATGAAATCAACAAGGTGACTGCGTCAGTCGCGGACACGTTGTGGTTGGCGGATGTTTGTTCGAATCCAATTAATGAGTGGAAGGGTGGTGAAGAGGAGAAATTTGCCGCGAACATGAATTACTTTTCAGAACTACTTGGGAAAAAAATAAATGAGACAGAGGAAAGAATGATTCTCGCTGCAAACAGCAGTAAAATACACGGGGATTTAACTAATCTAGTTGGAAATCTCACTGCATATAAAGCAAATAGCAGTTTCACCGTGGGTGGCGTTAGAAAGCCGATGGAGGCGGTGAAGACAGCGTTGGAAGCTGCGGTCGGACAGCTCGGGGAATTGGAAAAGGCGGTCGCAAGCAAGTCAGGAGGTAGGCATAATGAGGTCGTGGAACAGATCAAACATACCAAGTCGGCGGTAGATACGAAGCTGCTGGAGGTCAAGGAAAAGCTGCGAAGGGCGTCGTTTACAGAACGACGGAGGACTCCAACCCCAGACGTAAAAGCGAAACTGGGGGAGGCAGAGAATGAAAAAAAACTGACAGTGGCGGAGGAAATGGTGGCCGAGGTAACAAAAATGGTTGAAGAAGAAAAGACGAGAAGGGAAGAAGCAAAGAGACGGGAAAGAGAAATACAGGCCCAAAAGGCTAGAGAAGCGCAGGAACAAAAAGAAAGAGAGATACAGGACCGAAAGGCACGAGAAGCGCAGGAACAAAAAGAGAGAGAAGCACAGGCCCAAAAAGCAAGAGAGGCGCAGGAGCAAAAAGAGAGAGAAGTGCAGGCCCAAAAGGCAAGAGAAGCGCAGGAGCAGAAAGAAAGAGAAGTACAGGCCCAAAAGGATAGAGAAGTACTGGAGAAAACGGAAAAAGAACAGCTGGAACGGGCAGCGGAAGAGGCGAGAAAAAAGGCCGAAGCGGTCAAGAAAAATGACAACAGCGTCAGTCCTGCATTGGTGCACGGTCCCTTATTGTTTCTTCTGCTGTGTGTGTTGGGTTGCACTTTCGTCTGTTGATCGGTGTTCCCATGACACAGTTGCACAGTTAACCTTTGTTTGAGTGGATATGGATGCATTGTAAGGTCACTGTTCTTTTTGGTTGAATTTTAATGTTTTTTCCCATCCGTCACGATAAAACTCTTCTTTGCATATTTTTGCTGAACAAATCAATTGGACTCCCTATGTCACTCATCACATGACAAACCATCATTTTGTGAGGGGAGTGTCCTCTTTCTTTGTTGGCATTATTATCTGGGCACTGCTTTGCCGCCATTCACTATGTCCGCCTGGTGATGTGAGTATTTGTGTTCCGTGATATTACTAACTATTGCTTTTACCCATGGGAAAGGGATACAATTCCGATGTGTTATAATGACTGTGACTGAAATGAGAAGAATGGCAGGAGGTTCAAGACACACAAACACGCACACTACCAACCTTCCTTCTCTTTGTGTGTGTGTGTGTGTGGACTGTCATCATGTGTGCATCATTCCCACTGCTGGCCCTCTACAAAAGACACACACACACACCTACTGCAGGGAATTGTGTTGCTTGCCTCCTGAACATATTCACTTGGTGATCACGGCTTTCTTTTTGTTTTGTTTTAATTATTTTGCTTTTCCCTTATGTGTGTGTGTGTTTCATTATAATTTCATTGCATGTTATGTGCAGCCGTGTGTTTTTCTTTTGCGTTTCCGATACACCTTGTGTATCTTGTGTGTTCATTTTTATGGAATGATTCTTTTTTTTTATTATATACAAACTGCCGCACGGACGTCAAGAATAAAGGTATGGGCACGGCACGTTCAATACACAATGATTTTCCGTTGTTAACCTTGGAGTGGATTGGACTGTGTCCAGGCATCGCAGCCACAGTAAGTAATGAATTTCTTTTTTTCTTTTTACATCTTTGCTCTATTATTGTGTCTGCCTCATGCAGTCACTCCTTTTTTCTACTTTTTTTTATTTTGATATAAAGATTGATGGATTGTAGGTGTTTGAGTGTGCTCCTCTGTTGTGTGTTCCTTTGTGTGTTTGGGTTGCTACTCGCACCGCCCACGTAATGAAAACACATTTATTTGTTCTCACCTTCTCTTTCGGTGGTGTCACTTACACGGTATTGCCACGAACATATTACTTCCCTTGTGGTGTGTGTTGTTTGTTGTGTGGCTTGCTTGAGTGACTGGAGCCTTTGGGGAGAGATGGGGTGAGACTGTTCCGCTTCGGTTTCACGTATTGGGTCTGTTTTTTTTTTCTCTTTTTGGGGTTGAGTTGATGTGCTGGTGTGGGTGAGTGTTTTTCTCTGATGAGAGTGGCAGCTGTGATTATTGTGTATTGTGAGTGCCTTGTGTGCTGTTGGTATCCTGTTGTTGTTGTTGTTGTTGTTGTTGTTTTCTTGTGTTTTTCTTTTCCTCTCTGTAGGTGTGTGACTTGGTGTACATTTTAGGGAATGCCGCAGTGCCTCTCTGATATGAGCATGTGAGACTGTCATTATGTGAGTGCACTGTGAGTGGGAAGGACACCGTTGTGTTGCTGGACCACTCCACTGCGGCGTCTGTGGGGTTTGTGTGTGAGCGGCATGCTTCGCTTCGGCGGGGCTCGAGGAGGGGCACTTTACGTCCCGAGGCTTGCTGAACCTTGAGGCCTGAAATATCATGCTCAGGGACTTTGAACTTGAGAGAAAAAGAAGAGTGAGGAGGAGGGAAAAAAAAGGATGAAACCCGGCAACCAGTCTACGTGCGCAATGCTCGAGGCTCGTTGTCGGGTTTTGCCCTTTTCTTTTTTTTATCCCTCACCCCAAGAAGGGAGAGGAGGAGAGAACACAACCCCCACAACCCAAGGCGGGCGGTCAACTTGTCAGCGTCTTGTGCGCAACAAGAAGAAGAGGGTTGGGGTGGCTCCCGGGGGTGTTTCACTTATAAAATGAGGGTTAGGGTTAGGAATAGTGGAAAACTCTTTGCTTTCCCTACTTCAACGCTGGGTAAGATGGGTTTGAAAGGTATTCCGCAAAGATGACCCTTCCTCGTTCCCCTTCGTGGCGTGGTGTGGCCATCCAACCGCACCTTTTACTCGGTGGCACGCGGCGCCATGAACAAAAAGAACGTTAGGGTGAGCCCTTCCTTCCCTATGATAAAGGCAAATTCTGCTATGGTGTGTTAAGGCGTTCCACTACTGCCATGTGTGGTGTGAAAAGGAAATCCATGGGAAATGCAGAAAATGGGTGAAATCTAAATAGAACATTTCGTCCCACATGTATTTTGGTTTATGAGGAGATTCCCAACAATGTATGGAGTATGTTTACTTTCCCGGAATATATTCAAGTGCTTGGACTTGACGCCAAAATAAGTTGGCACACGATCACCAAAGGTCTTTTTATCGTTAAGTGGCGATCTGTTGAAATATCGTAATCTGTAAAGAAAAGAAAAAGATTGCCACACTGACGTCGGCTTCTGCCCTAAGCAACGCTGTTGCAAACAAAAGCGCTTGTGTGTCATTTTTTGGGTGTAAGAAGATTGATTAATAAACGATCATGCCCATATTCACCAACAGAATCCCCCATGGTGTTCTTCGGGGCAGTGTTTGTGGATGCGTGCGGGGTTTGCCATTATCTGGGATGTTGTTGTTGTTGTTGCCGTTGCTTCCCTCGTACCAAAAACTTCGAATTGAAGAAATAGTGGCGATAGAAAACGCCATGTTATCTTATTGCGAAGCAAGAAACGTGAGGATAAAAAAAAACCCCTTTTGCTAGCAAAGAACCCCTTAAGTATATGAAGTGTCGTCGTAGGTGCTGGTGATGGTATTCTTCCACTGTGGTTCACGCGTCTTCTGCACAAAAGAAAGATATTACCACAGAGCGGCGGAAACATTTAGTTCGATATTTCATATAAACGCAGGAATCAAAACCATAAAGGTAAACTTTTGAATGATTCTGTAACCAATAAGGGTGACATTATGAGTTTTTTTTTCATTTCATTTATAACTTCCGTGGGGTTTGCGAGGTGTAGGAATTGTATGGAAACAGATCCTTGGTAATGAGGGCCTCCCCAACGCGGTGCCAAGGTGGAGTATATGAATTTATTCAAGGAAACTAAGTGCGCTCACTAAATGTTTGAAGTGGGTGGTCTCCTTAAAACACAAATTCTTTTTATTTTTCTTTTTAACGCATACGTTCTTAGAAATGGCATTCCCTTGTTGGCGTTTGGCCATCGAAAGTTGGAGCCAATATCCATTATCCCTTATTATTTTGAGGGAAGCCATGGGCCAGTAAATTCTCTTTCTTGAGAGTTTACTGGTTCATAAGCTACAAACGTCATACAGCACCGGGAACAGTAGAGTCGTACTGGGACAAAACTTTATGCAAGAAGGTCCTGGGGCGCGTATCAGTGTACCATCAGCAGCAGTTTCTTTTATATATTTCACTTTAGTGTGAATGCTGCTAAAGAAGGAGAGGCTGGGACCCTAGAGATAGTAACAACCATGTCCTCCAGTGGCGGAAATTGGATTAGTCGTTGAGGGAACTCAGAGAGACGTAAAAAAAAAAATCCGTGTTCTGCCACCTACGAGATCCATTATAATTTCATTACCAATGCGTACTTCCCCATGCCCAACGGTAGTAAAAAATAATATAAAAACAAATTGTATTTATGTATATTTATGTATTACTCTTGATGACCCGTTCCATTGGAGTAACATCCATAAAGCCAGGAAGAACAGAAAGAAAAAACGTGATGGTGTGGTGTGGGGTCCTTTTTTGGGTTAGGGGGTGGAAGGGGATATGTTTGATCGTGCCCTCCTTATGTACACCTTGGGAGAGTGGAGTGTTTTTTTTTTTGCTGATAATGCTGTGGGAGAAGAAGAGACGAATCGGCATTCTGAGGGAAAAAATAAAATAATAGTAATAATAAGGATAAATAAAGAGGTAATATGTGTGTGAGGGAGTAATTGTGTGTTGCCTCTGTTTGTAAAGAGTGGCATGATATTACAGTGATGTATGCAGTCATTTTTGTTTATGGTTGTGGGTGAGTGGGTTTTAGATTCCAATTGTGGTGTTGGTATAAATGTTACGGTGATGCATTGGTTTCTTTCTTTTTTTCTGTTTGGAAGTGTGTTGATTATTGTACAGTCTCTTTGTTTTGCTGATGATTTGTGGTATTGTTTTTGTTTGCTGCCAGGCGTACACCGTGTTTTTGGTGTATTTTGGTGTTCAAACTGCCTGGTAATGGTTTTATT